ACAAGGAAACTATCCAACAAGTTACCTGAGCACCTATGACTTCATGGGATCAAATATTTCTATATGTAGGTTGGAATCTAATAATCTACAGTTATTAAGTTGTAGTTACTTTCGTCTACTTACGTTAATTCACTCAAGTTCCCTGTTTTAAATAGCAGCTACAATTTTTGGTTCAACACTAAAAGCATCATCTGAAATCACCCTGCAAAAACCACAATTTTAATCTCTACAGAATCATAAATCAAACATATTTTCGGCTGACGTGACTTGAATAAAAGTATGCCACTAGGTTAGAACCTAACTTAGTACATGGGTATTTAGATATCCTAGTGAAATCCTGTACAAAAAAATCAATCGCCAGCAACATCAGGCGCAATAAGTCCTATATATTACCTCAGAGCGGACCCTTCTCAACTGGCTGTTATCAGTATATTTTCACCCAGGCTACCGTACAAGTCGAGGCGACTACCTACCACACATTCTTCACTCTCAACAAGCAAAAACAATCCCTTTCACAAAGTCAAAAGGTTCATCGAAACTGTACTCGTAAATTGGCAGATGCATAACAAGTTGGACCGAGGTTGGCAACAATTTACAGAGTCCATTCGCGGCGATCGTCGGAATTATGTTTCTGTTAGATATTTGAAAATTTGCACGTTTTTATTGTTGTTTCGTAAAGTATGGGATACCTTCGTGAATGGTTCGCTGTGGGTACAAATAGCTGAAAGATTTTACTTGGGTTTATTCCAAAGTTATCACTTTACCATATCGGGTACGATACATCCTTAACCAAGTTAGTTACTAGCCGTGCCCGCGACTTCATCTGCGTGGATAATGACTTTGAACAGTTCTTTACAGCTCCTCCCCCATAGGTGAGAGGATAATAATATTATGTAGCCTATATGTTGACCCGGCCTGTTAGTAATATTCACGTGCAGTACTTTTTGAGTTTATCCCAGACGTACATAGAGATAAACAAACAATAATTATAAAAAAACATAATTATTTTTTCGATATCGATTATAGATCACACCCCAAGTATTATTTAAAAAAAATATTTATGAATAGTTTTGACTTTCCTACGATTTTATTATATATGTGAATATGTATAGATTAGCAGCTAGCAATAAAATCACCATCTTCTAAAATGGAGACCAAGAGACAGTACAAACATAATTATGAATATATCAACTGAGGCGTACGTTTTACGTAAATAATTAACATTTGGGTCGAAGTTACATGTGTAAGACTCTGATGAAGTTACCAACTTGGTCAGATGGATTCCTGAACGTCCTCGAACCCATTACCTGTCTACAATTAAAATGATTAACTCGAAATACTCCAAACTAAGGATCAATTAGTCGTTAATAAAGTTAACAATTCGTAACACAATTGCCTTAGTTAAAGCTACTAAGTTAATCTCCAGTTAAAGCCGTTATGTCGCTGGCAGGCAGCCAGGTAAACCACGTTTAATGATTACATCAATTTGTATTGTTAGTCGTTACATTTAAAGAATTTTGTTGAATTCTGTGAGACCTACCGAGTGGAACGTAGACTTAAAAAATGCCTGGTCTAATTATACCATTCATTCCCATATTACTACGCAAATATCGATGTTTCAAAGTTTCCTGTTATAAATAAGTACATATCCGGAAATATTCTTTACAAACCTCACAAATCCTTAGAAAGGACGACTTGTTGACCTTTCCAATTTCACGATATCTATTTCTTAGCTACCTCTAATGACATCTAGCGGCGCAGACAGACAACCCCCCGCTAAGTCTGCTCCCCACACACCTTATAATTATATTAAATGACACCGACCCTTTCTGTGTACATCCCTAAGAGAAACATAGACTAATTACTCCATCATGGTAAAGTAACACATCTTCAAATAAAACCTATTAAAATTAGCATATGCCGCGCCCGACAGTAATTACATCATAGCGTTTAATTACTTCCCAACCGTTTACCGGCTTAGTAATTAAATACAGAGAAATTTTACAGTAAAACTGTGAGCAATGGAAGAACCTGTCTGTTCAGATAAATGTAGCTTCTAGAACATTGTAGGCATTAGGTACTTAGGTAGTCTACAATTATAATATTAGTTAATTAGTGTGAATTTATATTTTATTCGCTATATGAATTTATTAACTAAGGTACCTAAATTCCCGACCAACCCATAATTAGTTATTCGTAGATTTTGTAGTAAGCTGCTGGTTTTGAAGTGCCTACTTTTAGCTCGATTTAGAATCAAGCCAAATAATTAAATACAAAAGTACAAGTAATGACTTTCTCCCTACTTATCCTCAATATATTTCTATGGATATCGAACAAAAACGGTCACGAACAAGTACTAGGCTCGCATGACATGTGAAGAGGAATGGTGATAATTGTTCTGTGGGTCACAAAACTCGGTAGAACGTTTACCTCTGGCGCATGTATTGTCCTCCGCTGAAGGCGACTGACAATGGAAACTTACCCGGGGCGCGCCGGACAACTTGCACCCAACACCGATGTATTAGCACTGGATTAACTTCAGTTATTGATACCTATCTTAAAACGTCAAAGTTAAAAAAAATAGATTAGATCTTCTTTAAGGTGGCTTTTCTGACATTTTGACGCTTTGGTAAATTTTCGTGCATTTCACGGAAATGTTTCAAAGAACTTAGATTCTAGGATTTTGAGATAGAGGATATAGAGGATTTAGAGTACAATAAAATTTCAGGTTCTGATCTGCAGCCTGAGCTGGCTGTCTTCGTGAAATGCGATTTTCCATCTCGGAAGTGATTAGGTGCGGTAATGACTTATTACATTAGCGTGTCGCCGCGGCCGGGCGCTGGGCGCTGGGCGCTGGATGCAGCTTTAGATCGAGGTCAACTAGTTTACAAACTCGCTACTGTCTAGCTGTCTTAATTCAGTTCTGCTGTCGCAGCCGACCGCTGCGGCACCGCTGCGATTTGCCGACGATAAACTTGCGTTAAACTGTTGTTCACTAGAGTGGGACCATTTAAAACGGGAACTTTTTCAATTATTCCTGTTGTAGTTTATTGGATTCGATTCGAAGCTAGCAAGTTATTTGATTTGCAAGTTCCTGCAATGCCGTTGAAAACTTGTACAACTAGTTATGAAGAGAGATTGAAGAAAATTTCTAGAGATTCTGAGATTGTCGCTAACAAAGACCTCATAACAAAAGTCGACGCTTGGAGAAGACTTTTATTCTTCGAGCGGATAGTTGTAGGTAGGAACTGCGGCATATATATATAAATACATAAATAACTTTGAAACGTTACAAAAAACTCGTGTATCGTAGGTAATACCTAACTAGGTACTTGCTTGTCCTGATTCAGTACCGAGTAGACAAATGATATGATGAGCCCCACACAGTTTCTTGTGAGAATCTATTTATATAGATAATCACATGTTCTGTTATTTAATACTAAACTTATACAGATCATTGTATTTCAACTGTACCTCAGAAAGTCCTGCTGTTTTAAAAGTGTATGAAACAATATTTTCCAATATTAAAACTGTATTTCGAATCGAGTCACAACAAAAATTCGATTTAGTAACTTTGTAAAACGTGCCAAAGTTTAGCAAAGTTACCAACTTGCCGTCATATCGTGGGCAGAATATGTGCTCGAGACGCTTGCAGCCAAGATCAACTTTATCTGAAAGATCATAGAGACCACATTCGATTGATTGAAACGCATAAACCGTTGTTATTAAGAAAGATGTGATGAACATCAGTGTAAATATTTAGTCAGTCGTTTCTGACGTTCATATTTACCTTACTGTTGCTTTGAAATAATATAACATCTATATGTGTACCTGTATATACAGATACAGATTCATTTGTGTACTTTAAATATATTTGATGTGAAATAGGTAAGATGACAGAGTAATATAATGTAGACATTTTGACTTTGAAGTCCTCAAACAAGTACCCATTGAAGTTACAAGAATTATTTTTACCTTCGCACAAATCTTTCTTGTATAACGGCAACAAAATAACTTCAAAAGATATTATGATAAAAGGAGCACTCTAAAGACCTTTTCCCTGTATCCAAATCCTGTCAGATTTATGTGAAATGCTTTCACGTAGTCGAGAAATAACTCCAAATAAAAACAAAATAGGCTATCTTAGGGAACCGTTTTAGTAAATCATAAAACAAATAGTAAGATCTGGTGAACAGGACTCGCGTGGCCGGTGTGACGGTGGGCAGCGTGTACTCGGCTCCGCTAGATTATGTTAAATGGGTCGGCCTGTGTTTGAGATCATGATCCGACCACTTATAAAACATAGTTCGGCTGCGAGCTCCATTTACCGCTGGTCACTCTAACCGGATCGGGCCGGTTAAATCCGGTAAGTGGGTCTCGGTGCTCGAATAAATCCCCATATTATTGTTATTGCCGGAGAGGATCCCTGCCTTCTTTGTATACGACCGAACCGGACTGGGCGGCGTGCCGCCCGCCGGCCCTGCCTCTGTCGCTTGCCTCGGCAGCGTCTCTTTCTAATAATATTTTTTTACTTTTCTTGTTCACATAGGGGACGACTAGTAATAAAATAAAAATAATGTGACACTACCGTATCATATTCATTCCATGACAAAACACTAACGTTTGGTCGAACGAACCTGGTTAAGACTCATACATATATAACATCACGCCTTTTATTTCCAAAGGGAAAGGCAGACGTGCACATTATGCCACTGTACAATATAACACCCACTTTTCACTATTTATGTTACAAGTTCCATGCAATAGTGGGTGAGCCTATTGCCATATACCGGAAACAATTCCAGACTCCGTGCTACTACTGAGAATTTTTTAAACCCAGTAATACTTTGCCCGACCCGGGAATCGAAGCCGAGACCCCTTTCCCAGCAGCAATCGCACTTGCGACCACTCGGCTGACCAGATTAAGACTAAATTAACTAAGACTAAGGCTCATATAATAAAAATAATATCCAAGAAAACTTTTTTACGCATTTGCGTTACTTTCAATAGGTATATTTGAAAACAATTCAAAATACTTAAAGTTATAGAATATCGATCAAACATTGTCGAATGTCGAGGTGGTCCCACCACTAACAAATCTTCGTGATTACAGTCAATTTATATGATTCCACTCTTATAATTCAGATGCATCTATATTTTAAATTGACATTTTGCAGTGTGTTTGATTATAAATCGTCCAACCTTGAGACCGGAATTATTGGAACGATCACAAAGTGTGACGGCAGGTATTGAGGCATGTTAATAATCATTCACTAACCAACCGTCGTTACCTATTATCATCATTATTATCATTTCTTTTTCTTCTTCTCTTCTTCCTCTAATCTCTTTCTGAGCGACTCTGGCATATCTGGAGGTGGAGGACGAGGCATTTTAGTATACACCTTGAAAGCGTCGTACACAAACCACTGCAGGCCCGTGAGCGTACCGATCATAATGATACGCGCAACCAGACCGCGCCAGATGCCCATGAACCCCACATCTCTAATAATACTGCCGACGCTGGAGCCAGGGTCCTTATTCAACTTGGAGACGAGCGTATCAGAGGGATGTGATACTATCGCGCACAGGACACCTGCAATGTACCCGGCAGTGAATGTGACTATCAACTGTTCCACCTTCGTACATTGGGCCCTGGGCTTTGGCACAACTTTTTCATACAATAGCTCCAAAGTTTTCTCAAATGAAGCAAACTTCATCATAGTGTAGGGCACCTGTCGTCCCCACAGCGGTGGGAGTCCCTTATAGAATGTTCCCACACCTTCTGTGCTGAGCATGTGCGGCATGGCCTTCCTCATCATTGATGTATAGCCAGGCGTTGTCTGCATCCGTACCTTAGTGGCTTCAAGCGGTGCCAGGAAAATATCGGCAACAAATTCGGCAGAAGCTGCAGCTGCCAAGTACAGATACGTTCTGTATAGGTAAGCAGATTCTATGTCGACCATATTGGAATACTTATACTTGAAGTATTCGTATCCAGAGAACTTCAATGCACCCTGTATTGAATACCCAAAAAATGTGGGCGCCCAGCCTTTCACGAGATTCGCGGCCCCGCCGTCTCTGTAGGACACAACGAAACCTGTTGCGATGGACTTGTACTTTTGGGGGTCCACCTGCAGCCGGCACTTGACCAGATCGAGCGGCGTCACGAAGGTGTGTGTAGTACCGCACGCAACTGAACCTCCGACGGCGCACAGGATGAAGAACTTGTTGCTGAACATCTGACAAGAAAATTCTTCTTCACCTTTCTTGGCCATTTTGTTGGTATTTTTCTAAGTCTATGTGTTTGTGATATTAATGAAACCGACAAAAAGACTCTTCCGTCGTATTTTGTACCTACATCCCGTAAAACGGAATTACTGGGAATTTTTTTCAAAAACTTACGTGTTCTTATATTTCAATGTTATGATCATCTTATTGTCATTTTGCTGTGACAGTATATTTATTTTTTATAATAATAATGAATGCCATAATATGCACCAAAGAGAACGTATATCTAGTTACACACCTAGATTAAAAACAATTTACTGTAGTAGTAGGTATTGAGTAGGTATAAACAGTACCGTTTACCATAAGGGCACTCGGGGCCCGTCCCCAGGGCTCCCATACTCAGGGGGCCTCGAAGAACCGACAATTTTTACGACAGACATACACCCACTACACGTTGCGCGGCAACCGTCTGCCCCGCAACGGTCCCGCACGGATTGAATCTTTCAGTGATCTACAAATTGTTGTTTCGGGTCTGGGTGTCATGTGTATGTGAACTTGTGGGTCTGTAAATACACCCGCGATACAAGAGAAAATCCTAGTGTGGTACAACGTTAAAAAAAAGAAACATTTCACAAAGGCCCCGAAGTATTGTGTGGCCAAGAGCCCTAGGTTTCAAACGTGGACACCTAATAATAAATATGGTACATCAGTGCCACCGCGGGGGAGGATCACCTCTAACGATGATCTTATTTATTACAAGCTGTTACCCGCGACTTCGTCTGTATAAAATAAAGACTTTTGGATAGGTAGAAATTGGATTTTTTAACAAGTCTTTGCCAAGGTATATCCTTGTAATAATGTCATCACTGTAACAAATGCCATCAGAATCGATTCAGTACTTAGGTTATATTTATTGCGAGATGAATTTAATTTCGTGGTTCTAAAAAATAAACACATTGTGGCTAATGTCACAGTAACTATTACAATAACCTAATGATTAGTTACATATGATTCGTAGACTTTTATGTTGATATATATTAATATCCTCTAAAAGACTCTATATCTAGGGGAGACGGCATCCCAGTCCCCCTCGTGCCTGACGCGAGAGATCGCCGTCGTCGACCACATCCCTGAAAACACAGCGGTGCTCAGCCCACGCAGGGCACACCACCGTATGTTCCACCGTATCCTCCGGGCGGTTGGGCTCGCTGCCATCGCAGCGGTAAGTCCCCTCTTTGAGAAGTGGCTTGAGAGACGCTACGGCGTCCTCACCTACCGCCTGACGCAGGTCCTCACCGGACATGGGAGTTTCGGGAGGTACCTGTGTCTGATGGGGCGGGAGGAAACGTCCGGGTGTCATCACTGCGAGGACCGCCCTGAGGACACGGTGGAACACACGGTGGGAGAATGCCCTTCGTGGGCTGAGCACCGCCGTGTCCTCAGGGAAGTGATCGGCGATGGCGACCTCTCGCGTCCGGGCCTAGTGCAGGCCATGATGCGGAGCGAGGGGGACTGGGATGCCGTCTCCTCCTTTTGCGAAGCAGTCATGCTAGCTAAGGAGGAGGCGGGACGCGTGAGGCAGCGAAGCGCTGCCTCCTCGCAACCCAGCCATCGCTTTTAGCGCAATTAGCCGCTTAAACGCACCGATATGAGACAATAGAAAATACATTGTGTCTCGAGTGGATCCACGTTTAGACACACGACGGGTTAATATACTTCAAAATCAGCATAGTGACTTGCACATAAAAGGTAGAAATATGCCGTCGCGGACTTTTACTTAGAAATGATCAAGACAAACAATCTTACAGTACATTATCTTAGTGTAACTCCTATGGTTTAGGCAGCGTCCGCCCAGATAGGTCTCAGACGCCCAACTTGGCTAACATTTTGTGTTATATTTCGCCCAATGTATTTTTTTTAATTGGGACAAGCCCGCCACAACCTCCCAAAACCGCTACAACTCCTGTAAGCCAGGATCTACAGTAGATACAACCATGAAAACACCGGAACATTGAAGTCCGGCGCATTCCAGGGACATGAGTAACTGTCTTGGTTCCCGCAACGAAGTGAATCAGAAGATATTATAAGAGAAGAAGAAAAAATGCCCAATGTATGTATATGTAGCCCATATGTTATTCTGATGCATACATCAGAATAACATAGGCCATAGCCTACATTACTGTGAGGTTTTTTATAAATCCGTTCAGTATTTTTTTGTGAACCAATATCAAACACACACACACACACACACAAACTTTCGCATTTATAATATATTAGTAGGAGTGCCTCGTTGGCCAAGTGGTCGCAAGTGCGACTGCCGGGCAAGGGGCCTCGGGTCCGATTACCGAGTCGGGCAAAGTATTACTTTATATTATTAATTATTGTTGTATTGTATTGTTTTTAAAAAATTCTCAGTAGCAGCACGGAGTCTGGAATTGTGTCCGGTATATGGCAATAGGCTCACCCCCTATTACATGGGACTCATAACATAAATAGTGAAAAGGGGGTGTTACATTGTACAGTGCCATAATGTACACCTCTGCCTCCCCCTTCGGGGATAAAAGGCGTGATGTTATGTATGTTAATATTAGTAGGATTGACATGACATGGAAACCACACTTCGAATTAAAAATTTATTAATTTCGTTTTGATCCATTTCACCTTAAATCTAAGTTAAAATAAAAATAGTTCTTATGATATTACTAACTAACGCAACTAAATATTTTATATTAATTTTAACATTGTATACACATATTTACAAACAAGACTATTGCATTGATTTTTGTACTTTTAATAGAAGAAATTAAAAGGGTCAAAGTTAAAATATTTCACAATCACTTTGTAGCATCATACAACCATTACTGGATGTAACTCGTTAACATTTCAGATTGAATATAAAAAAATAAATAGGGAGGTAATTATTTAAAGTCTTCTTTCTTACGTAAATGTCAATTACAAATAGGTACAATATGTTATGATTGCTTTATTACATAAAGTAATAATATCGTTTGATACACAAAATAATGTTTAAAAATGCTTGTGGTACCGAAAATTACTTTGATTTAATAAATAGAGTTGAAGAAATAAGACCTTAAATAAATGATGATTAGTTCGATTATGATAATGAGAATAAACTACTCACTGACTTTCATATAAATGGCAAATGAACTAGTGATGTATTGTTAATATTACAAAATTATCGATTCTATTTCCATAACAAAACATCGATATTACGTCGATCGGTATAATCGTCAACTAACTACGTATTATGCATTCAATCTCACACAAATTATTTAATACTGCCGACGAGGCCGACCGAGTCGACCCGGCCCGACCCGATGGAAACATGCGGCAAATATTTTGTGGGGACGGCCATATTGAAAATTATAAAACTTTATCAAAATAATCGCAATAACTGAGTCGATTCTCACATGAACATCAAAACACAACAATTCCGTCGACACATAATATTTAGTCACACATTAAACAGAACCAGTCTATCATTTCGATGACACATCAATTAATTTCAATTGTGTAGTGAGACTTCATCGATACATTCCAATCGGGGAACCTTAGCGATATATTCGACAAATCAATTAATTTTATAGTAACTTTAACAATTTACGTACAAATTGGCAGTCGTTGAAGTTGGCAGTGTTATAAATAAGGAGTATATTTACAAGTCTCACTACTGGACACAAAATAGTAGCTACTGACAGCGCCCCCTGGACTACTTATCGACGATTTTATAAGGCACGAGGTAAGGGAGACATTTCGTCGATATTTGCGCATACGTCGGTGTGTGGAAGGGTAGCGCTTTCTGTAGCGTAGTAGGCGGCGTGTGACGTCACGGTCAGCGAGCCAATGGTGCCACGCGCACGGACACATACAGTCGCAGTGGCGCCGGCACCTCGGCCGCCTGGCGCCGCGAGCGCCGCCTCGCCACGCTTACCGGGGGCGCCACGAATCGCGCTTCCAGTTCCAGTTGTCTCTCCAGGGCCGCCTGTAACACAAAGACCATGTAACCACCAAACCAGTAAAACTACAACTTAGAAATTAAAAAGGTTCGAAAATCAAACAACAAGCAGGACTTGCAGATTTTGACTAAATGTATAAGGTTAACGCCTCAAATCAATTACAATATATTATTTGTGTAATATTTAGTATCCAAATACCTAACGTATGAACAATAGTATTGAAAATCCACCATGCACTTACCTGGCTCTTAAGATGCCTTCGCAGCCTAAGCGCCCAGGTGCCATCTCGCTTGGAGAGCACGAAGTCTTTCTGGTCGTCTCCGTAGGCGATGCGGTAGTGTGCGCGCGCGCCGCCCTCGGCCGGCAGCAGGCGCAGCAGCGGCGCGCGGCCCCACGTCTGCTGCGGAGTCGCCGACACCACGATCAGCTCCGCTTCAGGCTCCAGCAACGAGCGCCGACCTGCTCAACAAGCAATAGAGAGATTTAGGAATCAACCTTCCCCAGATGCCAAACACCTAAACTGGGTATAGGTATATTGGTTTTATAATTCGGAAAACATACCAAAAACTATTTCCAGATATTCTTAGCATTTAAAATATAATACAAGATTTGTGTAAAAGCTTTTGTGATACTTACGTCGACTTCTCCTTTTCCGTTTTCGTACAATCATTGTGCCATTAGCGTATACTATCGCTTCATCTGGAGCTCTTCGTCTTCGGCCGTTCACCTTTAAAATATTTTGAAGATTAATGTTTGAAGCTGTAATAGGTATGTATGTATGTGTAGAACCTATGTTCAGTTTCTTAAACCAAAATTCTTTAGAATCTATCTCCTTACCTTACAACTGAAGCAACCTTCGGTAGATATCAAGTCTTTGTCACCGCCAATCTTGTACTGATCGCGAACAGGGAAGACTGGAGCATCTCCGATATCATCAGGTGGGAGCGCTCCGTCCAGCGCTGTGAGACAGTGTCCTGCGCCCACCAGCTGGTACCCAGCGGGACAACCGCACTGGTAGGACTCACCGAACGAGTTGCATCCGTAGAGACAACTGGCAGTGGCACAACCACCTGCCAACTAAACATACACAGCACTTTTGTAAAACTCCAGGAAGTTAATATCTACAGTTTTGTAGCAAATAAGGTGGCAGGATATTCAATAACAACAAAGTATTGTAATAAGTACCCTAACATTTCATAACAGGTTTTGCTTACCTGAAGACACACTGCATGGCCAGCATCCCAGCCATATCCAGATGGACAGCCGCACCGGTATGCTCCACCCACGGCAAAGCATGGCGACGTGCCACACGGCCCGGCAGAACAAGGGTCTTGTGGCACGCACACACCGCTTGATGATCGAGTGGTACCTGGAAAATTATGGTTATTATGCTTACATTATCAATCACTCAATTTTTTAACATGAAACTTCAAAAAATAAAATTTTCTCAGTCCGGAATTTAACCAGACTCATTATTATAACACAGTCACACTTACGACTACAGACTACTGAATAAAAATAAGTTAAAAAAAACTTTAGGACCACGCCATCTACACTTTCTAACATGTACTTATTGAGGCACTTCAGTTGGCCGCGAGTACCGCTTAAAATATTGTAGAAGATTGCGCTTAGGTACTAGTTCCATTTTTTAACACATGCTTTGTAATATAAATTGGAACTACTATAAAATTAATAATTTCTAGTTTGTAAGCTTGAATCTCTTACGCGGAATTGTATCCAAAGTGACGCAGATGAGTAAAGCACCATGTATTGTAATCTAAGACTTGCTTCAGCGAAAATAATACTATAACGATTAATTACTTTTAAGTGTACTTATGTATTACCTGCAGGACAGTCACAGCGGTATCCTCCAGCATAATTTCTGCATGGAGATTGGCAGCGTCCATCGTCACATTCATCTCGGTCGAGGCAGCGAGCACCCGCGATGTCCAGGCGGAATCCACGTGGACATACGCAGCGGAACGAACCCAACAAGTTCACACACTTGCCAGGCGGTGGACACAAGCCTTCTTCATGACACTCGTTTACATCTAGAGATAGAAAAGAATAAGATGGTTTATATAGCTTTTCGTAGTGCTAAATTTAATCTTAATGTTATTTTGTAGTAACTCGTAAAACAGTCCTTACTGTTGAGGTCTGGTATTCAATTGACATATCTGGCTACGTCTAATATTTAATATTTTATACAATGAAAAGTTTAAAAGCTACAAAATAGCTTTTAATAAACATTACCAAACAAACAGAAACTCACCAACACACGCATCACCCCTCTTTTCATATCCATCTTGACAAGAACACTCGTATGATCCCTCGGTGTTGCTACAGATCTGTTGACAAGTATGTGTTCCACGTTCACATTCATCCACATCTCTACAGTTGGCTCCATCTTCGTCCACCTCATAACCAGTTCTGCAGAGACACTCGTAGGAACCTTCAGTGTTTTTACAAAGTTGTTCGCATGGAGGAGGTCTGACGCTACATTCATCGACGTCTGCGCAAACATCGCCAGCTGCCTTGTAACCACGACCACATACACAGCGGAAACTATAAATACATATTGAATATTAATAATTAATTATTGCATTACAAACAAATCAATTCAAAATCAGTATCTATTAGTCTTGAATGTCCTACCTGCCAATAGTGTTGACACATCTGCCAGGTGCACATAACCCCGGCATAGCAGCGCATTCGTCCACATCAAACATGTCTATACCATTTCCAATCAAACCGTGGTTCTCGCCAGTGAGACCAGGTATCATTCCATTTCCTGGTCCTCCGATACCAGGACCTAAATTAATAGGAGAGCAGAGTTCGAGTCGTTCAGGAGTACCAGGTTGAGGACACAGCTCGCATTCTGGGCCCCAGGCAACGCCAAGGGTGCAGCAACATTGGGCCCTAGGGACATTACCACAATTTCATTAGACAGTTTCAAAAGTTATACACGAAGTAAAAATTAACAGCTTGCCATAGATGTTGCGTGTCTACTTACTTGGTGACATGTGCAGGAGGTGTAGGTGTTGACGCGATGGCTCGTGGCCACGGCTCCGGCATACATCGACCAGATACTAAGGATCTATGACACATACCAGTGCGATGATCTGTAAATCATTTAAATAAATTCATAAGAATAAGATAACAAATTATATTAAAATACTTCTAAGTTCAACCTTCTACATATTTTAATACCAGTTCTTCAATTGTCACAAGAACCAAATGAAGTCTTTTTGTCTTACTTACCAATGCAAGCCATTCCATCTTCACTGGGTTGGTATCCTGCATCACAGTCACATACGAATCCTCCCTCAGTATTGATGCAGACGCCGGGAGAGCATCGGTCTGGGTTTTCTGAACACTCATCAATATCCTCACAGGCGTCTGGTGCGTCATGTGGAGACGATGTGCGTCTGTAACCTAAAAAATGAGGAACAAAGGGTCAAAAGTAATCATTATTTTCGTTTAAAAAGAAAAAGGTTATTTAAATAGACAGACATTCTAACAACGCCTCACAAACCAATTTACAACTCACCTTCGGGACACTTGCACATGTAAGAACCGACAACATTTTCACAAGCATGGGGACACACTTTGTTGTCCTGTGCGCACTCGTCGATGTCCTTGCAATGTACTCCGTCGGGGGCCACCGCGTACCCGTAGGGACACGTACAACGGAACGAACCAGCTGTATTGTGACAACGGAATGTACACATCGCACGCCCTTCTGCACATTCGTCTATATCCACACACGTCTGAAAAGGTATTTATTTGATAATTTTATGTTCCAACTGTACTCTTCACCTTTGTATAAATTATTATTGTACACATAAAAATGTAACATGTGTTGCTATGCCCCGGGTACAAATTTTTGGACTTCATAAATGACTGAATATTTGGATAATCCAAAACAAAGCTTGGTAGTATCGGTTGTAATCACCCAACTGATGAAGCAAACTTTTAATATATGTTTAACAAGTTACCTGTTCAGGACCCTGAGTGAATCCAAAGTTACATCTACACTCGTATCCTCCGGGGGTGTTGGTGCAGGTTCCGTTGCCACAGATCCTGGGATCAGCAGCACATTCGTCAGCGTCCACACACACGAGTCCCGTCTCATCCAGGGTGTAGCCCGGTGGACACTCGCAGCGGAAAGAGCCATCCGTGTTGATACAGCGACCACCCTTACAAACGTCGGGACGGACCTTGCATTCATCTAAGTCCTGGAAATAATAGTGTTTTCAATTTTTCAATTAAAATCTCGATAAGGTACTAAAAACTAATGTAACTTAATAATTCTATAATTAAAGTGAAACTGGTGGTTCTAGAACTAACCTGAGTAAGATTTGGTCGGCCCATTCCACCTTGACAAATTCGTAAGAATTCAGGAGAATCTGGAGCCGGACAACGTTCGCAATATCTACCCCAAGCAGCACCTGATTGTAGAAAAATGCATTTAATTATAGTCGCTGGTCATTAAACTTGTTTCTTTTGACCAATTTAAAAAGAGCTGTTGAGTTACATACCTTCAGAACAGCAACACTCGGGTCTTCCGAGCTGCAGAGGTCTTGCTCGGTGGCATCGACCTGAGTCCCATTCATCATAACAAAGTTCCTTTCGTTCATCCACACAGATAGCAGCTGCTTTATCGAATCGCCAACCGGGAGGACAGTCGCACACGTAACTGAAGGTTACAACAATTAATATTAGAAAGTGGTTTTAAACTTTATCTTGATATGTAGTAGGGTTTTGATTTATAACTCACCCGCCATTGAAGTTCCTACACTCGCCACCAGCACAAACGTACTGAATCTCTTTGCATTCATCTCGGTCTACGCACCGTCTGCCTACGAGTCTCCATCCAGCACCGCATGAACATTCGTAACTAAAATGAGAAATTCAATATTGAGGATAAAATTGAAACAAATATAAAATAAAGTGGAAAATTTTCCATAAAGAGATTGTTGAATTTAGGTAAAGCAATGGATTTTAACATTAACTTCTGTTAATTTAAATGACTTCTCCATAAATGACTCAGATACTAACCCTCCATTGGTATTGGTACATGAAGGTGCACCATCCCTGCCGCAAGGATGTGGCAGCTCGGAGCACTCATCTACATCACGACAGTGACGCGCGTCTGCTGTCAGTGCGTACCCTGGCGCGCACTCACACCGGAACGAACCCACTGTGTTACGGCAGCGACCGTTACGACACACCATGCCACCTTCACGACACTCGTTGATATCTGTTTAAACATTAGTTACCAGATTAAACTTATAAATCATCAGTATCAATTAATTGATTACCTCATTTTTGCTAACGCTAACTAAGCAAAACTTACCGATACAATCATTGTTGGCACCAGGTTTGAATCCATCATCACAATGACACATGTAGGATCCGGGCAGGTTCTCGCACGTACCATTGCGGCACATGGGTCGAGGACGCGAGCACTCATCTACATCACGGCAGACGTTGTCCCTTAGTGTGTAACCAGGTTTACAGTCGCATCTGAAGGCAAACAAATTATATTTAAAGCCCAGAACTCATTAAACACCATTAATGTATAACAAATTCGTCGTCAGCTTTTCTTTCCATATAAATCCTGGCTCAATGAAGTGAATTAAGAAATTCCTTTATATCAAACCATGATAATTTGCATAATAAGTACCAGCTTGTTGAGCTTGTAATTGTTAAATTACCTGTAAGATCCAATAGTGTTTCTGCACTCGCCATGTTCACACAGCCTCTCGTCTGCGCACTCGTCAACATCCTCGCACTCATCCAGTGAGGCTGTGAGCCTGTAGCCAGGTGGACAGCGACACTCGTACGCTCCAGGCAAGTTCACACACTGTGCGAGACCGCGGCATGGAGTGCGGTGTAGTGCACACTCGTCGATATCGCGACATAAGTGCGATGTATTGTCGTGCTCGTAACTGAGGAAAGATAAAAAGTGGTAAATAAATGATTTTAAAGTACCTATGTACTTTGTAGAACAGAACATTTGCGATAGATATTCTTCTTACCCATGATCACATCCACATTGGAACCCAGTCGGTGTGTCGTGACAAGTACCAGGTTTACATAACTGTGGCATGATGTCACACTCGTTGATCGGCTTTGTTTCATTAGTCATAGGGTTGATGTACTCTCCAGGTTTCTCTCCGCAGAGCGCCATATGTTCATGGGATCCCTTGTCAGGACAGGGCTCGCAGGGTGCTCCCCAGGCTTTACCAACGGAGCAGCAACACAGATATTTAGTCTGAGGTACACCGGCAGCACCAGTGCAGCGACCAGTGTCTGGTTCCCAGTCCATGTAACATTGACGCTGACGGACGTCCACACACTCCTCTGAAGACAGAAATGAAAATATATTAATTTATAATCTAAGTAACTTCAGATACTTGATGTTGCGAAGTTCTACTAGCGTTCACACTTACTTCCATTAGGCATGGCCACATAACCTTCAGGACACAAGCACACATAGGATCCTTGCATGTTTCTGCAAATACCAGGTCCACAAATGTCAGGCCTGGCACACTCGTCAATGTCCTCACAGCGCTGCTCATCGTGTGTGAGCTGCCAGCCATCACCGCACGTGCACACAAAAGATCCGAATGTGTTGGTACATGTTCCATGTTCGCAGAGAGCTGGGTGTTGGGCACATTCATCAATATCAGCTAGAGTTACTACGTATGATGGCTGAAAATAAAGACATTTAAAGTATGAAAAATGTGCAACGAAACTTTAAGGATTTGTATGAAATGTTATTGCAGTCATCTACTCTAACAAAACTTACAGGTTCAAGAACAGGTTGATACCCTGGACCACCGGGACAAAGTTGTCTATAGGCTTCGGATCCAGGTTCCGGACATAAGTCGCAGTAGTTGCCCCAAGCAGCACCTGAAACGCAAATTAATTATAATTTATCTCCCGTAGAACAAAATAGAAAACACCGTCAAATTCTTCCGTAATTATACGTACCAACAGAACAACAGCAGGCCGCCATCGTGCCATCTTCAGACAGCTCGTCACTGTCCCGACAATGTTCCGTGCCAGATTTCAAGTCCACTTTACCGTAACAGCGCGCCTTTCTCGAGTCTGGAAGGTGCAAATTAAGCAGTTGAGAAACAAGATCAAAGAAATAAATAAAAGTATAAAACAAAGAAGAGAATAGAGAAAATTCGTTTGGAAAAGATTACAAATTTTCTGCTTTTTATCTATTTTAAGTTAGAGTTATCAAACTTCATCTTTAATGAAAAGAGACAAAGCGCATAGTCGTATGTTTCTAACTCTAAGTAGCTTACCGTAGCAAGCAGTTCCATCAGAGACCAGTTCGTAGTTAGGTGGACACCTGCAGATGTAAGAACCTTGCGTGTTGATGCATTGTCCATACTGACAAGATTGTGGTGATTTGCACTCGTCCACGTCAGTACAGTTGAAACCAGGCATCACTGTGAATAGATAAAAATCTTGTTTGTAAAAATAATTTTTGTGAGTTTTATTGTACAAACTAACTCAAGTCTCGGTAAAACTCGAGAACGGCTGAACCGATTTGGCTAATTTTGGTCTTGAAATGTTCGTGATAATACAGGGAAGTTTAAAACCGTGAGAAAAAAATGCTTGAAGTGGTACGAAGTTTACCGGATCAGCTAGTATTTACTTAAAGACATATACTTACGATCATCAATGCTGTCAGACTGGTATCCCTTGTCACAGATACATTTGAACATTCCATAGGTGTTCACACAGCGACCAAATACACACACGTTGTCGAATGTCGCGCACTCGTCCATGTCTATAACAATCAAATTGTAACAATAAAAGCATCTGTTGATTAATCACTGAAACACACACAGTCGTAACCAGTTTAAATAGACCCTGAAGTCCCAATAAGTACTTACCAAGACAAGACCTTCCATCAGGTGACTTAGTGAAGCCGACATCACAATCACACTCGTACCCACCAGGTGTGTTGGTACAGTGTCCATTCTCACACAGGGTAGGGTCGTTGGCACACTCGTCGATATCCACGCAAGAATACCTGCAATAGAGTATAATAAGTATATAGTTATAATCCAGAAACGGCATTAATTTACATAAAGGTCAATTTCCTAGAAGACGATAAGGATAGATAGATGTAAGTGACCCAGGTAACGCGATGAGCAGAAGAGAGCATCTAAAAACTTTTGAAAAAAAAAATAAGAAGATTATTTCCAGTGTCACTCACCCATCTCCCTTGTATCCAGTATCACAGAGACACATGAAGGATCCGTCAGTGTTGGTACAAGTAGCGCGCGGATGGCAACCACCATTGTTGGTAAGACACTCGTCAATATCCTCGCATTCAGTTCCATCACCTCGCCATCCGTCCCGACAGCGGCATTGGAAGGAACCCTGGTAGATAATAATTTTTATTTAAAATTCCGTTAAGTTTCAACCTTTACAACATATGTAATATTATGACTATAGGCAAATAGTCTTATTTGTGGACCTCGAAATAATTTGCACTGAAGTCGATCACCCACCCAATATGCTAATCGTAGAGTTTATACTTACAGGTAAGTTGATACAATCAGCAGCAGGATGGCAGTCACAGGTGCCGAGTTCACATTCATCATCATCAGTGCAGGCAGGGCCTTGCTCCGGCTTCACGCTGTAGCCGTCGGGACAGCGGCACACAAAGCTACCGATTGTATTGTGACATTCGCCAGCACCGCACAGATCTGGAACCTATACCACAAAAGTTTTAAGGTTTAAATGGATCTAAATCTGGTTCAGTCAGAGAAATCAATATAGCGTAAAATCTATTGTCCTTACGTCAGCACACTCGTCAATATCCTGACATGTTGGTTTAGATCCATCAGGTGAAGGTAGCAGCCCATCGGAACAGGTACAGACATAAGATCCAGGAGTATTCCTGCACTCTCCACCTCCACAGGGACGAGCGCCTTTACCACATTCATCAATGTCACGACACGTGCGACCGTCAGCACGAAGATGCCAGCCATCCCTGGATAAAAATAACTTATTATGATTTTGGATTCCTTTTAGTGGTCGAGTAATATATTGTTGAGTTTTTATGCTGGTCTTAGGATAAAAGCTCAGAAATCAAATGCATGAATTCATCTCTCATAATGATCTTTCCTATAACACAGTTCTGCATCTACTCACCTACAAGTACAATGGTAAGAGCCCGGTGTATTGACGCACTCGTGCTGACATCTAGTGGGATCTTCAGTACACTCGTCTATATCTTCACAATGGGATTTGACGGTAGACTGGGCATAACCTTCGTCACACACACACTGGTATGTGCCCATGAGATTTTCACAAGCGCCATTGCTGCAGATACCTGGAAAAGTACGTAGGTAATTTTCATAGGTAAATAATGAAAAAAATCTTATACTGGTAAAGATAGATTAACAAAAACAAATTACCAGAAGTAATGGAACATTCATCAACGTCTTTACAAGACAGTCTATCAGGAGACAACTCCATGCCAGGTCCACATTCACAGCGGAATGATCCAGGTGTGTTGATACAGCGACCACCACGACATAAGCCTCGGGTTTCAGCACACTCATCGATATCTAAGACAAAATAACGATTAATAAATTGCAATAGCTATTAATCAAATGCCCAGAGAGAATATGTGTTCTTCATAAAGTCAACTTACCAACGCATACTTTAGAGAAGTCATCAGCTTTGTGTCCTGGGTGACAGTGGCAGGTGAAGCTTCCCTCAGTGTTACGACACTCGCCAGCACCACATACTCCGTCCACTATCTCACACTCGTTCACATCAACACACGTGTGGTTCTTTGAGTCCTATAGTAAAGAGTTAAGATTATTGAAATCTGAATGTACTTTCGTAAATATAATCATGTTTTAATCTAGCTATGTGTAGAAATTACCCACCTTCTCGTAACCAGGGAAGCAGTCGCAAGTGAAAGTTCCGACGAGGTTCCTACAACGCCCGTGTCCACAGAGTCCTGGGAACGCAGCACACTCATTGACCTCCATCTGCCCTGGTATTACTCCAGGTCCACCTTTATGCCAACTGTCTCCAGTAATATTCCCCCAGTTATCCTCTCCTCCTTCTCCAGTTCCCCAATCATAGTCACCAGGTCCGCCTCCTCCACCTCCACCTCCACCACCGCTGCCGCCATGGCCGTTACCACCCCAGATGGCAGTTCCATTACCAGACGTATCCCCGGGACGATCCCAGACAGTAGGAGGATGGCCAGTACCCTCCGCGATGCACAAGTTACGGTATGCATCCGTTCCTAAAGAACCAACATTATTTTAGAAGAAACTCATAAAGACATTTTTGAAATTATTCAGAAGTTTCAACCATCTTACCCTTTTTAGGACAGGGTTCACATCTGTGATCACCCCAGGCTTTTCCGAGTGAAGAACAGCAGCACACAGCTCTGAGCACTTCAATCTGGAGCGGGTTGGAGCAGCGTCCACCAATGAAGTCTGTGTAACAGTACTCTCGGCGTGTGTCCACGCAACGGTTGCCTGGGAGCATATGATACACACATAACTACATATTCTCAGAAATGATAATATATCTGGTTTCTACTAAACAGTACAACTCACCAGTTGTATCAAGTGCCAGTCCCGGTGGACACTCGCACCTGTAGGAGCCATCAGTGTTGATACATGTGCCGCCGATACACAACTCAGAATCCAACTGGCACTCATCTACATCACGACATGTTGCACCGTCCAACTGCAAACACATGCAGTTATATGATATAAACATCTTTGTAAATATGCGTACTTGTATACGTCTAAAAAAGAAGCTTTTAAGGGATGCGTACCTTAGCAAATCCTTTAGGACAAGGACAGTGTTCGATTTCACAAGGTTCACAGGGAGAACCCCAAGCAAGACCCACACTGCAGCAACACTCCTGGCGCAGTAGTGGCCTAAGAGCAGCCGCTTCACACTGGCCATCCACCACGCGACGCCAACAAGAACCACGACGATTGTCTGTAAAGGAAAAGCATAAAAAAAGGTACAACACATAATAGATACACAAATACTTACACAAGTATTTGTAACCTCTAGCGAAAGTAGACGAAGACATTCTTCATAGTATTTACGTTCACGTAATGTCAAACATATTCTGTTCTTTTCAAAATTAGAAGAGATCCTTACCAATGCAATGTTGTGCAGTAGCATCGAGAACGAATCCATTTTCACATTCACATTCGTAGCTGCCGTGCGAGTTGATGCAGCGGCCGTTGTCGCAAGGGTTCGATTGTTCTATAAAACAGTAATCAATATTAAACACAGTTTTGGAAACGTTATAGAGCTTCAAAAATCATTCACAAAGTTAAACCGTTCCACTTTTAAAATAACCATCCAATTTTATATTAACCAATTCTGTTTTTAATTATCCATATAAAGTAAAATGAAAATCACAGGCAATTTTATTATGATTCCACATCATGAACAATTCCTTTAAATACCCGTATCGGTTTCTCAATCAAATTAATTCAGTTATAATATTATCATGAAGAATTAAGCAGTGCAATGAGTTCGAATTGCGTGAAATTAATGTTTCAATTATAAATATCAATATCCATACAACGGATGGTAGATGACCAAGCTCGGATGTTGGTCAAATGATGGTAGTCCAGGGTTAGAATGTCCGATGGATGGAACATTATGATGTGTTGACTTGTCACACAAAGGTTGGTAACCTGTTCCGACGGGGATCATAGGGGGAATGTCTCCCCGATCGTATTCCTTGACGATGAAAAGAGTCTCACCCTCGCATTCGTCTATGTCTCTGCAGATTTGTTCGTCGGGTTCGTAACGAGTTCCTGTTGGGCATACGCACGTGAAGCTACCCAGAGTGTTGCGGCACTGGCCGCCCGTACAATACTGAAATGAAACAAGATTTCCATAAATTTCTATCTAGTTTACTGTTACCATAAAATAAATTTTGGCTTCTATACTTACAGACTGGTGCATATCACATTCATCAATATCCCTACAGATTCCATCAGCATCGGGATGGAACCCAGGGTCACAAATGCACTTGTATCCTGGTTCCAAGTTCTCGCAGGTACCGTGAGGACAGATTCCAGGGATCATCGTACACTCATTGATGTCTGCGCCTCCGTTGTCCTTACTCGCGCCTTCGGGACAAAGGATGTCATACTCCTTGCTTCCGTGTGCAGGACACTGTTTGCAAGCGACACCCCAACCTAATTTGAGACCTACAAAACCAAGTAAATTTTTAAATATAATTTTTTATTAAAGTTGAAAATTATCTTTGACTTAGTCAGTCATATTTATGATTAATAAATAAAACTATTAAACTATTAATAGTTTAGTTACCTTTACTAGAACTGCAACAACACTGAGATCTTGTGACTGGATTCTGTCCCGGTAGCGTGCAGTGTCCTTCTTCGAATTTCTCGTAACACAAGTCTTGAACCTCATCTGTCAATAGACATTTAACATTACATTAACTTTTTCACATAGCACCATCATTCCTCTTTAAATCTACTTACATACTACACAAGATGCATAATTTTCTAAATGATCCATCCATTCTTACCAAGACAAGTTCTTCCATCGTTGCTGAGAGTAAACCCAGGTAAACACTCGCATCTGAACGAGCCAGGTGTGTTGTGACAGCGGCCGTTCCTGCAGACACGTTGCTCAGAACATTCGTTGACATCGATACAGGCGCCTCGGTCAGGAGTGGGTCGGTATCCTGCTTCGCATACACACTGGAATGATCCTTCACTGTTCACGCAGCGACCTCCCTGTGAAAAAAATAAAATTTAAAACAACACGACACAATATCACGTCTTATAACCCTCGAAGGAGTCGATGGAAATATGTATACTATCTACATGAAATTTCTGGCAATTACAACTCCACCAACGAGACAAAAAGGAAAAAAGATGTATACTTATTATGTATATGTATTTCAATATTTCTGAATACAAACCTGACAAACACTCTTATCAGCACATTCATCGATGTCTGTACAGTAGCCACCAGCAGTGATAGAGAAGCCAGGCTCACACTCGCACTCATACGATCCTGGTGTATTGCGACACCGGCCACGGCGGCAAACACGTGGGTTGTCACGACACTCGTCCACGTCACGACAGGCGTGGCCTGTCTCGGTCGACTCGTAGCCAGGGTTGCACACGCACTCAAATCTGATGGAACAGACAATTAAGCGGACCACGTCAAAGTTAAAGACATTTAGAACTTATTGCCTTTCCAATAAAATGAGTTCTAAACTTACCCTCCATCACTGTTTCTACATACTCCATTGGTACACATGCCCCCGTGTGTGGATTCACATTCGTTTTTATCACTGCATCTCAGTCCACCTTCAATTGGATCGAATCCAGGAGGACATCTGTTGAAAGGACACAAAGTATTACAATATTTTCTCTCACAATAGAATTAAAACTTAGGTAATATAAAGTTAAACACAGTTTTTTTTACCTGCACTCAAATCCACCAGGTTTATTGACACAGGTACCGCCTTTACAATACTCGAGAGCACACTCGTCGATATCGATACATGTCGGGTTACCATCCTGCACCACTGATTCAGCTCCATCCCAACAATCACACTGGTACCTGGAGAAAATGAGATTACATAGGTTAGAGAACTAGGACTCAAAGACATCAATAATAAAATATTCAGCCGGAAGTGACAAAATTTCACACTGCAAGAGAGATTCCGACTGACAAAAGTCAATGAAAACAGTACAAAAAATTGGCCATTCGTAACTTGCATTACTTTTAGACCACGATCTTTAAAAACACGAAGAATTAACTAAAAGATAAGACAATGAAGAAAAACTTACCCAATATCCTTATCCACACAGGTACCTAATCCGCAGATGCCGTTCCTCAGCATGCACTCATTGATCTTGGCTATAGCTGGTGGTTCGTACGAGCCACCAGAGCCATCATCGTCCCCACCACCGCCAGTCACATTGCGGCGCCAGTTTGGTGGGATCACACCGCCACCACACAGATGAGTCCATTCAGCTGGAAAAAACGAATTTGTTCAGATTTACATTATAACTAAAACAGAGAACTCGCCGATTTATGTTAATAATATGCTATGAAGGATTTTAGTCTCCACATTCGAGTACACGTTTATAATATAACACCAGAATATATAAGTTTTCTAAGCAAAGAGACACTGAAGAATATTTTCCACCCTGAAGCTAATTAAAAGGTCTAATTCATTTACTTACTGGATCCTCTAGGCGGGCAAGGCGTACACATGTCACCCCAGGCTCTTCCCATATTGTAACCGCAGCAACAGTCTCGGTTGGATAGTGGCATTGGTAGACGATCAGCACATTCACCTGTCTCACTCATGTATGTGAAACAGCTGCCCACTCTACCATCTGAGAGAACCACAAATCAGAATGAAGTAAAAGCTGTCATACTATTACCATACAAACCTTTCTGAGAAAGTTAGACTTACCTATACAGAATTTCTTGTCTGGACTAGGAATGAAGTGCGGATTACAAAGACAGTAGTAATCCCCCTCCGTATTCACACATTTGCCGTTCTGCAATCAACATCAATAAATAAGTAAATCATACAAATGCTTCCAGAATCCTAACTAATTTTCTGTGATCTCCAGAGTAAACTACTTCTAGATAAGCGTGCAACGTCGACTGCATCATCGCTCACCATCGTCCATCAGATGAGATAGTAGGCAAACGTGAGCCTATAACTATGTAACAACTACGCTGTACCCTTACCAATATTTCCCTCACCGGCCGAAGCTATTGAAAAATATTTATCAAAATACTAATACTCCAATAAAAAAAATATTAGGTATCGAAGGAATATAATTACTCACGGGACAAATGTCTGGGTCTTCACATTCATCGATGTCCTCACAGTTGTTGGTGACTCTGTGTCGTCTCTGTCCTGGTGGACACTCGCAGGAGAATGAACCGATTGAGTTGATACACCGACCACCCTGACAAAGTCCTGGGACAGCTGCACATTCATCTATATCCTGTGGAAGATGAAATCTTTGTTACATTCTGCTCAAATGATTAGATTAGTTAAAATTGTGAAAATGTTGATTGGTCTCCTCACCTGACACTCCTTAGTAGCTAGGTTCCTAAGATGTCCCTGAGGACAGTCGAGATCCCCGCAGCGCTCACAGGGGTGTCCCCAGGCCACACCGACGGTCGCACAACACAGCTGCTTCGTACACACTACACCTTCGAGAGCTCCCGTGCATAGAGCTCCTCGAGTGTCCGTGTAACAAGGACCTAGAAGACACACATAAAAATGTACCAAAAACCAACGCATAATTAAATCATATTAAAAATATATACAACCAATCCAAAATTTAAGTAACTCACCAGTTCGTCTGTCGATCTCACACCTCGTCCCTGAGAGTCCATGGAAACAGACACATCTGTCCGGAGCTATACATCTGCCGCCATGTAAACACGGCTCCCGACAAATGGCTGGAAACATGACATAATACATTATTATTAAACTCTTAACAATAACACTCAAAGTACTGCTTACCAAAACTTACGTTTATAGGAAAATATAGATTCAAAAGTTCACTTACGTTCTGTACAAAATTCTCCGCTCCATCCAGGAGCACAGGAGCATGTACCATTTGAGCAAGTACCACCGTTCATACAGATACGGCGACAACCACCCGGCGTCCGAACTGCAAACAATAGACAAATGGTAATTAGATAAACAAGATTCAAACTCCTCAGAATCATACACTTAAGTATCAAATAATACACGAAGTTTAGTGACTTATTACCTGGATACGGGTACAGTCCGCCCCCACCACAAGAGGGCGCTTCTACTCCTCCAGCACATCGACACATGTTAGGAGCTACACATGCTCCCGGAGAACCGCAGTCAGGGCGGCATACAGCTAAAAATCATTCATAGTTTTTTTTAATATATTACCATTTTAATACTATCATTTAATACAAACAGTATCTCTCAGTGTACTTACGGACTATACAAAGTAAAGAATTGGGTCTGGACGTCCATCCAGGACAGCAATGCGTGCTGTTACGAGATCTGCACACGTGTGGGCTGAAACAACAAAAAACTCAAATAACCACAACATAAACTTAAATAATACAACCTCAGAGTATTGAGGCTCAGAGATGCAATCTTCGCTATGACCAGGTAACCTAAAAATATTATATTGTCGGATGGTTAACCCTTTTGCACTTGAAACACGAAAACAACAACATACTTGGCCCCGCAGAGGAATATAAAATGTTGCCTTCACATCAACAATGCAGATTTCAGTTGCTTTTGTATGAAAACTAACGAGAAGTGCTCATTAAAGTCAGACAGGTGTTGTTTAAGTCAGATTTATTATCCATCGTAAACTTGTAGCTTCGCATTATATGGAAATTCGCAACTTTTTCCACTACTGTACGAGTATAATGAAGTTTGTGAAGCCTGCACCATCTTTGTTTCTTACACGTGCATTTTCTCTGCCCTAGATTTAGAAATGTAACACACTGGTCAATATTCTTCAGCCCATCTATCCAATCCATCTATTATTTGTCAAGGAACAAAACAGGTCTCTACTTTTAGGGTATAGTTTACACATTACGAAAATTAATACCTACCCACCAACAGCGCCTATCAAAGGACTTGAAATGGGCCTTACATCCGAAATCTGAGTTTGACACTTAAAATAATAGCAAAAGAATATCACAATAAGCAATAAATAGAGGATTTTAGATACTGTTGCAGTTTTATTGAATGTCAAACTCATTGTCGACAAGTTTAATTAACACTTGGGAACGAAACCGTCTTCTAACAATTACGTAACGCTTAATAGAGGAGCTTATGAGCGATGATTCCAATAACCTTGCTCCACAGCCGACCGTATCTAAGTTGCACCGAATAGATTCTCCTCGCTCGTTTAAAGTAGACTAATTTGTTCTAGGGTCAGAGAGTATCGCGAGTCCTTACGCTGAAAACCTTGTATCGAAATCGAGATTTAGTGCAGCACTGCACTCAATTATATTATCTGTTTTGCTAAATATTGGCTTATCATTCAAGAGCATTGCGGTCATTTATACTATTCATTTTTAATGTTAACATTTAAATGCCTAAAATTTTAATTATCTTTTTGGTTATTTGTCCACATCTCTTGATGGCACGATCGCAATAGGTAACAGGGTAAACGATATAGTCTTGGATTTTCCAAAACATAAGCATTTCGTATCCGCTGGTTATCATATGAGGAAGAACTGAACATTAATTCGAAAGATAAACTTTTAGTGCATACCCATAAATTCTAGCTTGAATGGTCCATCGTAATCCTGTACATTAAAATGTCACAAAATCATGAATAAGGTTAATAAGGTCTTTATTAATGTTTGCAATAGTTGAGCTCTCAGCCTTATTTAAATGATGTGTGGCCATTTGAAATGGAAAAAACACTTGCATATTTGCGTGTCAAACATAACAAATGACAGTTACTTCATCTCAACTAAAATCATCATAGCAATAATACTAATATGGTAGTCGGCGTCATACACTTATTTATTTATAGTTCATAATCTCTGAACTGAATTTATAATCACTAATGATCATCTTTATCGCTTAACCTCTGCTAAAGTCATTCCCTCCTTACGTAACAACTTTTTCATGAATAATGTTCCTCGAGCAGCGTTACCTACTGAATTCAGTACTTAAAAATTTACATTTAGTGAAATGTTTTGCCTTTCTCGTCAGCTGGTGCGTCGGCTGAATAGCATGCTAACATCTATTTCACTAACCACAGTGAAATCATCGCCTACTTTTTCATTAATTGTTGCTTTATCAATTTCACCACCAAAAAATTCATCATCCTTGCATCAGTTGATTGCATCAACGACCTTGGTGGTGGAACCCGGTTCGTCATAACCTGTCCTAGTGAACTCGTCGTTGGTTCCGCTATTGCCCTCTGCCCGACTCCCGAAATTATAAGCGTGAAAATCACCTACGCGCCGCCGCCCACGGTAAGTGTATCATGTATTATGTTACTGGGGAAATATTGTGAAAGAATGCTACTGTTTGTGATATGAACGACAGGTGTAACCCATTTTTGGTTGAAATTAAAAATAGGACAAATCCTCGACTAAAAACGTTATTTTTTTAACAAAGTTACAAGTGTGGTTGATAAAAAGCAGCATAAGAGCTATTTTTACGAGAGCTCCAAAAGTGTCAAAAATCTTGTAGTCAACCTAAGTACGGATAAGTTACAAAGACTGGGTGCAGTAAATACTCATTTCGAACAGAATTTCGTAACGATCCTGAAGAAAACTGGAAAGATTGTCAGAAATCCTAATCCTGGAATGACCATTCACCTACTGGAGCTCAGGTTGTAGTCGGTGCGTTGTAAAGAATGTATGTATGTAAGACACGTGAAGCTTAAGGATGGGAATAGCGCATACGATTATAAAACCGTACAGTGTGAACTACCAAGATTCATATCAAAGCGTCATACGCATGCGCAATGCGCCACACGTACGGTTCCAAGGACCAAGGAACGATGCACCTTTGATTAAAATGTATTTACATCACATTCCTTCACTTTGATGGTTAGCGCGATTGATTATATCTTAACTATATTTTGTAGCACTATGAAGTTGATATTTATTTAATAATTTTCCTATTAAATGGGCAGAGATGCAATTCAAAATTACGCTCTACGATAACGGATCGAAGGACTAAAATCACATAATATTAGTCTTAATCTTTTTTCCTTCATATTTCCGAATACATCAATGGGTTCTATTCGGTCAGTCATTTTTTACATCATGGTATTAACCCTTTGAGTACCGTCATTATAGACACAATTAAAGAACAATAGGTTGCGGTCACCGGTGTCCTCGCGGTGTTTGACAGTTGTAAGACTATCTGTAAATTGTCACAAGTGATGAGTCGAACTTGGAAACCATTAAGGTTTTTTTCTGATAGGACACTGCTCAAGCACGAAACAAGTAACAAAGTTGTAAGTTTGTAACTTACCCAACGAACTGGTTAGGTTTGCGCTCTGAGAGAGTGCGCGATGCGCGGGGCCACAAGCGCGGCGGGCGCGTGGGCTGCGGTGCGCGCGCGTCGGCCGCGGCGACGTGTGCGTACGCGCACAACACTACCACTGCCGCCACGAGCCGCCACATTGTCATCTTGGAACCATCACCCTATATCAGCACAAACATTTCAATTTTAAGGAAAATAATTTAAAAAAACTAGTACCTAATGATGTTGAAATCATAAAGTAAAACGTACTACTTTCTGATCCTGGGCTTAACATAAGTTACCACCTATTATGATTGGCATGCTCTTTATATTAGATAACAGTTCAAAGTTTGTGAATGGGCAAACTGTTATCATAATGACAAAATTGTAATGAATGACGGTTACAAAGTTAGTCAGTTACGAATAAAAAAATAGATAACTCCTAACACTGGATAAGATATCACAAAATAACAATATTTTGTGTTAATAGTAGTATTATAAAAATAATATTAATTATATAACTGGTAATAAATAAAACAGAAGTGTCAAGCCTTCAATACAGTAACCTTATAAATCTGAATAAACAAACATTAATTGGGGCAAAGATTACGTGGTCGCAGTTATCAGTAACTGCATTGATAATTATATATGTTTACACAATAAAGCACATTCTGAAGTCAGTGCCAAAAACATTTTTAGATACAACACGAGCTATCTGGAAGTTTGATAATGAACGAATGGTTTAATTGGAATCAGTAGCGTGAATTGTCATAATATTCGTTAAGTACAAGTACTTCGTAATCATTCAAGAATGATTGTATGTAAGATAAGAAAGGCATATGGCGACATTAGAGTAGAATACACCTTGTTCTCCCGACTAAAGGAAACAGAAAATTGGTAGCAGCGCTCTCTGAAAGGTATTTATACAAGAAAGCACTGTCAAGTGCCAGAAGCTTCTAGGCTGCGATCGACAACCCGCCTGCTAAACATGAAGATTATGACAATCCGGCGATCCCCTCTACAATAGAGGATGCCCGTAACCTAGCAGTGGACTGTCATCGACTGTTGATGTTATTCAGTACGATAGAGTAGAGAACTACTATCACTCCTAACAGTATTCCTCGTACACGTCCACAAGTGATATATTATAATTTATAGCTAATTTATCACGTGAACTGTCCGCTCAAGATGTGTCATATTTTTATACGGACATTAAAAACAATTTAATAATTATTTAGGTTGACTTTGTTATCATACAATACACGATATTATACCGACATACTGTGATGCAGTTTAGCGGATACTTTATTTAGGTAGTTTAATGACATATTCTAGAAGCAATGTAAATTAATTAACGTTTCCGCGTGTCAAACTTTTATCAGAGACCTCTTTACAAGCGTTTACTAAGTTTAATGAACAAGGTAAACATTCTTTTGACACCCAACATAGTAAACTAACACCTTCCAACATTTTGCATAAAAGCCTAAACGTGATTATGTAGATCATGTGATCAAAGACACACAAGATTATAATACCAAGTCTCGGAAAATAAAGGTGTTACAGAAACAGATAAAAAAGGCTACGAAAGACGACACCCGACAAACTAAAAATTAAGTGATGACTTACCTAACTAACTTAAATACTAAACTTACTTTACACAATATACCAATAATCGATTTCAAAATTCTAGTGATAACTAAAATTAAGGCAATCAATAACCAAAATGGTTTTTGAATAGAAGAAGACAGAACACGAGACGAAAGCGTCGCAAGCGGCGCGTACAGATGTCGCTGGGAGCGGGGCGGGATCAAGCAATCTGTGCCGAAATGATAACGAGGGCCGTCGACCGCGCACGCATCGCAATCACAATCTGTTGCTATAATTAGTAAAAATTCTTCACCAGCTTTGTTCTACTAATGACGTCATTTGTTAGTAAAAGCAACAACCTTACGTTAGTTGTGGACTAATTTGTAAAGCTGTATGCCAATGAATGGATCGGTGGCAGTTTACTCAGTGCGAGCGATGCTCTAAATCCATTGGCGGTTACAAAACAACGTTATTTACACTATTCCGTCTTTTAAATATAATGGCTCTTCATTTGTTTGGTTTGTTTTCAGTACAAAGACAATAATTACTAGACGCACTTTTGATGCAGTTCGTGATTTTTCCATATAATGTTACTACTAGTCATTTTAGGTGGCATTGTACTAAGCGGGCAGTAACGAGTCGAAGTTGGGCGCCCATCAGCATCAATGACATGAGTCATGCGGAGTGAATGCCGCCGCCCACGGAGCCGTCTTCCTTGCTTACTACATGGCCATTCGCCGGCCACACGCTGGATATCATACTAATCATATGTGACGAATTTCACAACGAACGAGCATAACTAGGTACTATCTTATATGCACGAAGATTCTGCATTACAACAGGAAACTCGACATGAATGGCTAATATAACTCATGATTTTAAGTTCTACAATATCTTTATTTATAAAAATAATAAAGTCATCGGAGCTCACATTCATACTTAATTTCATAACAATTTCAATAGCATCTAATTATTTACTATTTCAATTAAGCCCACGATATCAAATTACTCCCCGATTCAAACGCTCGTGATTTACCGATCCTTGATGTTGTACCGTTAGACGCTGACCCACATACACTCCCGTCAAATCATCCGAGTCCTAAGTAAACATGCTTCTCATCCTGAATGGAAATAAATGAACTTTCACATTACATTGTTATCTAATACAAATAATAATCATTGAGAATTCGGATAAGAAAATAAATGTACTGCGATGAAATATTTATTATATTGACCAGATTGAATAAATAATTATGAGACTCGTAAGCTCCTGATATGCTTCCAGAGAATAACTTTACAGTAAGATTCACAATTCCGTTTCCATATCCATAAACAAAACAAATCTCAACACGAAAGTTCATAAATCGAATCCTAGACTACACGCAGGCTAGGTGTGGTCCTTTCTCCTAGACCACACAGAGCTAACCATTGTGTAGTTTTAGAGTTAGAACCTCGCAATATTTCTGAGAATACAGCCCGTTATAATATTGTTAGGTACACTTATTAGTACGGCCGATTTATGCTGATCACAATTGGCTATTAGCACCAATGTTGACAATGGGACAACCGCACCTTGATATGTTAAATAGCATTTAAAATTATGAGCCACATTAATATCAATGGACATTATGGACTTGCTATTCTGATCGATGACCGGGTTATGGTTTAGTACGATTTTGTTTGTCAGTGTTGATTTCTGACCCTTTATTACGACTATTGATCTTCGATTGGCGAATAATTTTTGGGCGCGGAAAGAAGGACCACATTTGACAACTACATGACAATATCATTAGCTTACAGGAGATAAATAAACTCCTTTTTTGGCTTTTAATAGAATAGGGACAAACGAATAAAAAGATCACCTGGTCTGCTCCAGAAGAGATACAATAAAAAAAACATCGATATGCCACGCACTCAAATTTAGCAATTAAAGTTGCTAAATATGAGTGCGAGTATAATTATATCAAATGATATTTATTATATTTGTCGCCCTATACATTAACAAGTCTATAGTTTTACCAATAGTAATAGTTTAACAGAACCTGTCACAACATTCGTAATCGTCCTTGACCAGGTCGAAATCAAAGCATCAGGCAATCAGTGTCAAGTATCACGCAAATAGTGTGTACGGTCAACAAACGCAATGATCAACGATGATGCGTTTAACGCTACGGTCAGGAGGAAACGTCGGCACGCGCTTAGATCAATATAGGAGGGAGGGAGGACCAAACTACAAGTAAAGGCGATTTAGATAGTTTGATGATGTTTTAAATGGAACTGTTGGTTCATTCAATTCGAGACGGAAAGATGTGTAAAGAAATCGCATAATTTGCTGAGCATATTTTAGAAGCTTTAGATTATAATAACGTCATTGTTTTAAAAAGAAAAAGTGGAGGTGCGCATTTTCAATACTAACGCTAACTTTAGCCAATAATAATACTGGTCCTATTCCTATGTAGTTGAGGCGACTCTTTGCTGATATATTTTTTAATTTCGTTCTATAAATATTTACAACTGACATATATAATACAAGTATTAATTCTTCTTACATTCAATTTCGCTTTCGCCTCTATCTTACAACCATTCCTTAAAGTGGAGCGAGTGCCCCCAATTGAGGGGTTATTAACGCACGCCGTACTGTGCGCCCGCGCCGACTTCTAACGATCCGATGCGATGCTACAAACAAACTGACGCCCAGTGCAGTTACATTGTTTAACTTAAGTTTCCTATATCAGCTTTTATATATCTGCGAGGGAGTCATGTAAACATATATATTGAGCTTTAGAAATAAGGGATTTAGATTAACTTACTTGCTGCCATAGACTATGGTTACTGTCTACCAATAACTTCCATATACATAAGGTCTATCTGAACAATCAATACATAGTATAAAACAAAGTCGCTTTCGCTGTATGTCCGCTTAGATCTTTAAAACTACGCAACGGATTTTGATGCGGTTTTTTTAATAGATAGAGTGATTCTTAAGGAAGGTTTGTATGTATATACATATTGCACCCGTGCGAAGCCGGGGCGGGTTGCTAGTTGAAAATAAAAAAATACTTGCAAATACACCGTTCGAATCTAATTTACAGAGCAGATTATTTTGATTGACGCACAATTATATTTTAACGTTTCAGTACCCTGCATGTAGTTAGTTTGAAGACTTTGAGAAGTACTCATAGTTTAAAGGTCTATATGAAAATGTAATCGGACACATAAACGTAACCTAGGTTCTGAAACATAAGTCCTAGGTTTCCCGTTAATACCTATGTAGCTTGATAAGTACAACATCAGTTAATTTACGCAACAAAGCATGAAGGCCGGTCTAGTCTAGGTAAGCCTAAGCCTTTTGAGTCACGTGTCACGTGCTACTGAAACCTACAATCACAGTCGAATAGAGAACGCATGTTAATCATCTACACCCTGTAAATGTACACTATTGCACTATGTCAAAGTCAAAGTCAAAGTTGAAATCTTTTATTTCAATTAGACCAGGAAGGCACTTTTGATTGTCAACAATAAAAATTTAGAAGTGAAGATATTTGCTCATTCCAAAGTATAAAGATTCCTATGGAGAATAACGAGCAAGAAACTC